TGCCGATTAAACAGTACTACAAGCGCCGTAGCCAGTTTGCTGGAAACACTGGATTTACAGCCGGCGATATTTATAGGAGAAGAGATAAAAAAAAGAAAAAAAGAAAAAGAATCTATTTTATTTTTTGTTATTTATTTAAATAAAAAGGAAAAGAATACCATTGGCGGTTTTGGGTTCGGGCTTACGGGTTTGGGCTTCCGGTTTTGTGGTTTGAAAAAGAGAAGTCTGTGGGCCAGTTTTTGTATTTATTTAAATTTTAGAGGGAAAAAAAATATTTTCAAATTATTTTTATTGCCAGCAGCTGGTTTGGAATACAGAATTGGGCCCCACTTTGTTTTATTCTTCTGGTAAATTCAAATTCATTCTTCTTTTTATCTCCCTCAAAAATTATTTTTCATATTAGTATATATTATATTCGCAACCATGGAATTCATGACATCCTAATTGAGAATATTATGTCTCGACTAATTAAATTATGTTCAGATTAACTAATGATATAACATTTGATTATAAGAAACTAGTAGGATTTTAATAACTTAGTAGGGGACACTCCAATTTTAGCTCATATAAATAATGTATTTATTACCGTTACAAAAATAGATGGTTTAACTTTTATTATGACGAAAAAAAGAAAAGAAAAAAGAAGAAATAGTTAACAGCTATTATGAATCTTTTTCTAGGATACATTTTTATTAAACTTTTATATTATTTATTAAACAAATATTTATATTTTAGTGTATGAACTTTAAAATTAGGTTTCATCACCATAATATTATTTTCGTTTATACATTTTTGTGTTCTGTTTTATTATTTTTAAAAATATTTTCAAAGTCTAAGTAAAATTTTGAAAACTAAAAAAAAATTATAGTATTTAAAAACTTGTTTTCTTTTTAAAATTTATTAGGAAAAGAAAATAAGTAAACATATTAAAGAGACTGAGCGAAAACAAGCATAATTTTTAAATACATAAAATTAAAAACAAGATTGYTWTCATAAATTTTTTTAAATGATAATTTTGGTCATTGTCCTTAGTTTGTCACTAAAATTTCGATCCACCCAATATCTATCTCAACCAAACATGTGTACTATAATACGTAATGTTAACATGAAACTGTGAATAGACATTTAAACTCACGATTGTATTTACTATTTTAAAATATTCTATTGTAATTATTAATACTACGAATTGAAATGTTTGTTTTATTAAAATTTGATGATCAAAATATAATACATCTAAAARTTTAGGACTAAACAAAATAGTGTTAAACAGGATACATATATATATTTAAATTTATGTTGTTATAGATTAAATTTGTTTAATCATAATTTAAAAAAGTACTTTTGATTATTTATTTAATTTAGATAAAAAAGGTGTCATCATTTCTTTCAAAGGGAAGTTCAGAAAGAAATATAAAATTAATGAAGAGTATTAAAAGCTGGGGATCAGATCTCCACCATATTATAAAACCATAATTAGAAAACTAAGTTAAGAATATGACAACATACTGCATCTAATTTAATGTTAAGGATAAAGATTAGAAAACCCTAAAGTTAGACTTTGTATCTTTCATTTTTCTTTCCCCRTATGGTCAAAATTTTCTTTCAAGATTCGAAAATAGTTCACCAATATAATTTGTGATAATATATTAAATTTCATGCTTATCCCCTATGAATCACTGGACCACATTCAAATATGTGTCATTGCTTTTAATACAGTGAAGTGTCGTACTTGTTCAGTGTGCCTCTCTTTCACTAGATGCTCTAACCGTCTTTGACAATATTTATTATGGTTTGGGTATTGTTTCCAAATGAAATAGGGTCAAGTCACAAAACAGAGTGAAAATATATATATATATATATATTTTGTTTTTTTTTTTGTTTTTGAGTACAGCATGATTTTGGTCACGTTGGTTTTTGCCTAAAATTAGCCCAAATCTATTTATTTTCTTTTGTCACTTTTAACATAATTTAGTAAAATTAAATGCATAAATAATTTTATAACTAAGGGTCCATAGCTCAGTGGTAGAGCATTTGACTGCAAATCAAGAGGTCCCTAGTTCGGCCCTTGTTTTTTATTTAACTTACAAAAATATCTAAAAAAAGAGTTATCAATAACATGAGAAAACATTATAAAAATATGCCTACCAAAATATAGAGAAACAAAAATTAAAATCAGCAGCTATAAGCCATACTCTTAAATATTAGAAACTTCATTTTTCTCAACATTTACATAAATATGTATTTTTTAAATATAGTAAATTCTTATAAAAAAATCCAAATCAACCTCAAATGAAATATAATATAAAATATAATAAGAAAAGTCACACTTATACTAAAATAGTGAAAATTTATGATATTTTTTAAATACATATTATATTTATGGTATTTAATGAAATTTATCCATTTTTTTTTCAATTCAAATTATGAAAGAAAATCAAGTTTTACACAAAATTAAGACCGAGACCAATTAATACACAAGAGATTGACCTTTATATAAATATCCAAAACCTTATAAATCTCAACAAAAATTCATGTGATGTCTTTTTCTAAAGTCTCATCAATTTATTTCCATATATATAATTTGTAGTTCAGTGGAACACACGTAGTATTTTCTTTCAATGATTCTTCAAACGATGCCTCATCAAATGGTACGAATTGCAATATTTTTTTAAAATTCAATAATTGTAATAGTGAGAGATCAAACCTTCAACTTCGAGGAATGCAATTGGTACCTTATGTATATTAACTATACTCGGAGTGAGGATTCAAAATCTATATATAATATTATAAAATTAAAAATCTAGGATAGAAATTAGTAAACTTTCATGCTTATAGGGGAAAAAGTTGAAAATTTTTGGAAAATGACCAAAATATGGGCCTGTGTTTTCCAAAAGGGGAATGGGATAGGCCCATTGGGCCTCCATGTGGGCCTGCCTAGGGCTCCATTTCCCCCCGAGCTTCCAACAGAAATGGCGGCCACCACACCAGTCTTCTCTCACCTACATATTATGCTAATATTAACGTTTCCCAGATGCTGTTTTTGATTCGTATTATTCTAAATCCCTAAAACTGCCCAGTTGCTCTTGTTTTTGGGGGATTTTAGGGGCTCGATCTGGTGGGTTTACGGTAAAATTTTGCAGCTTTTCGAGGTCATTTTTTGCTTGCATTGCATTCTGTCGGAGGTAGATTTTTTATTTTCTGTGTTGGAAGAGGAAGTTAGAAAATGTTTTTGGTCGATTGGTTCTATGGAGTTCTTGCATCTCTTGGGCTGTGGCAAAAGGAGGCCAAGATCCTTTTCTTAGGGCTGGATAATGCGGGAAAAACGACCTTGCTTCATATGTTGAAAGACGAGGTGCGTTTTCTTCTGATTCTCAAGTTAAATTTCTTAATTTATTCTGCTCGATCAGTGTAGGTGTTTTGTCTTGTTTTGTGTTCCTGCTATTATTTGTCCGATGATGGAACTTTTCGGTTGTTTTTAAAGTTTCTCTTGCTGGATGCAATTGAAAATTGACGAAATGGAATGCATCCAATGAAGATATCATTGAAGTGCTGTTGAATCTCGATTGTTGTTTTTAATTCAGGATTATTTCTCAAATAACAGGGAAACAGATGTTTGGATTCAGAATTCTGAAAGAATAAAATGGTTACTTGTCGTTTTTTAATCAAATTTGTTTACTAGATTTACCAGAACGTGGGGTGTAGTGTCAGCGATCAATTAAAGAGCTCATTTCGTTAACTTGTTTTCATATTGTAGAGATTAGTTCAACACCAGCCGACCCAGCATCCAACTTCGGAGGAGCTGAGCATTGGTAAGATCAAGTTCAAGGCCTTTGACCTGGGAGGGCATCAGATAGCTCGCAGAGTTTGGAAAGATTACTATGCTAAGGTATATTTTGTCCACACGCTTTATTTGTCATTCTTAATTCTGGATATTGATTGTTTGTGCAGAGAACTATATGGGTCGAAATGATTCCATATAATGGTTGTAGTTTATTTGAGTTGAAAGTCTCAGTCGACTGAATGAGTAGTTTTATACAGAAGAAATGCTAGTCTTGAACTCTTGTTACTTTTAACTCAAAAGGTTATTAAATGGTTTCATAATGCTACTGAACCACCTTTTCAGTTTTTTTTTATATTCACTGGAGGCAGAAATTATACGGTTATTTTCTGATGACACATCATCTCCTTGAAAGGTTCTGCTTCCAGTACATAATTGATAATTGTATGGTAACTGAATATTTTATACATCATTTGCTGTATCGTGTTGCCTTATTTGAGGGAAGATTTAAACCTTTACTCCAAATGATACCTATTTGTACATTCATTGATTTTGTCTACCTTTGTGGTTATTTGAGCTTCAAACAACTTTACCATTTCGACAAATATCCGCTGCCTTCATAATCCCAGACCAACCAGTTTGTGTTTTTCTGATTCATGGGAGGCAGAAATTACATGGTTATTCGCTGATAGCATATCTTCTCCTTGAAAGGGTCTGCTTATAGTACGTAACCATAAATTTTTCTCATTATTTAAACCACTATTTAACTGTAATTTACTTAATGAATTTATGCCTCATTTACTATATTTGAGATCCCAAACATTGCGATACCACATTGCTTTATTCGAGGAGGAATCATCCTCTGCTTCCAAATGCCAACTATGTTGTCAACATCCATTGTTTTTGTTCACATTTGTGGTAATTTGAAGTCCGAACCATCACACTGTGTTCAAAATGTTTCCTTGCCTTCATAATCCCAGACAAACTTTTTTGTGTTTCTCTGATTCATGGGAGGCAGAAATAACATGGTTATTCGCTGATAGCATATCTTCTACTTGAAAAGTTCTGCTTCTAGTACATAACCGTACATCGTCACATCATTCAATTGTAAGTAATACTTACTGAATGAACCTATTGCTTTCGTCGAGGAGGAAAGATTGAAACCTTTGCTTCCAAATGCTAACTATGGTTTTAACTTTTAACGTACATCATTTCATCTGCCTTTGTGGTTATTTGAACTTTGAACTGTCTCACTGTGTTCAAAATTTTTACCTGCCTTCATAATCCCAGACAAACCTTTTTGTGTTTTCCTGATTCATGGGAGGCGGAAATCACATGGTCACTCGCTGATAGCATATCTTCTACTTGAAAGGGTCCGCTTTTAGTATATGACCTGAGATTTTTATTGTCATTGAAGCCATTCTTCAACTATTTTTATTGTCACATGGTCACTCGTATTTTGTTTGACATTTACTAAATTTGAGATCCCAAATACTGAATGACCCTATTGATTTCTTTGAGGAAAAAAGACTGAAAGCTTTCATCCTATGCTTACCATTTCACTGTGTTCTTTTCCCTGCCTTCATAATCCCAGACAAACCTTCTATTTTTCTGATTCATGGGAGGCAGAAGTCACAAGGTTGTTCGCTGACAGCATATCTACTTCTTGAAAGGGTCTGCTTTTAGTATATAACCGAAGATCTTTCTTGTCATCGAAACCATTATTCAACTATAAATATGACCTACGGATATTTTATGACATTTACCATATTTCAGATCCCAAATACTGAATTTACCATATTGTTTTCTTCTGAGGAGGGAAGATCAAAAGCTTTGCTTCCATATGCGAACTACGGTTTTAACATCATTTCTTCTACCGCTGCGGTGATTTCAACTTTGAACCACCACTGTTTTTACCACCTGCCTTCATAATCCCAGACGAACCTTTTTGTGTTTTTCTGATTCATGGGGGGCAGAAATTACATGGTTATTCGCTGATAGCATATCTTTTGCTTGAAAGGCTCTGCTTATAGTACATAACCATATATTGTTCTCATCTTGAAAACACTATGTTTTACTTACTGATATTTTGTGACATTTTTACCATATTTGAGATTCCAAGTACTAAATTAGAGGAGTCAAAAGCTTTGCTTCCAAATTCTACTCATGGTTTTAACATACTTTGATTTCTTCAACCTTTGTGAAACTGTGGCTATTATATGTGGTTCTTTAACATGTTCTAAAATATTGTCTGCTGACACTGTCTTACAAAGGGCAGATTTGCTCACTCATACGATCTTATACTTAATATGTCGTGTCATTTTCTGAAGGTGGATGCTGTAGTTTATCTGGTCGATGCGTATGATAAGGAGAGATTTGTGGAGTCAAAAAAAGAGTTGGACGCTCTCCTCTCCGATGAAGCATTAGCGGACGTTCCATTTCTGATTCTGGGCAACAAGATTGATATTCCATATGCTGCATCAGAAGATGAATTACGGTTCAATTTAGGCCTAACGAACTTCACCACGGGCAAGGGCAAGGTAAACCTGACCGACTCCAATGTCCGTCCTCTCGAGGTTTTCATGTGTAGCATTGTCAGGAAAATGGGTTATGGGGATGGTTTCAAATGGCTTTCTCAGTACATTAAGTAGATTTTATGTCTTCTCTTTCTTCTGAGAAACAAATTATTTGTTTAACATTCACTGTTACTGTTTTCTGTTGGTATGAATCTATGAGGGGTAAGATTTGTTCTTTTACCTTTTTTTTTTCATTTCCAATTGAAACTCCCACATCAAAGTTTGATCATAAAACATGCTGTAGTGAATTGGCTGCTCTTTTCTTCATTGCTTCTCTCTATACACGTGAGGACAAGATTTATGACTCTCTCTCTTTCTCTTTCTCATTGTTTGTGACCATTATATTTTTAGAAACATTTTAGAAAGTTGGATTCTACCTCAATTCAGCTCTTGTAAGCCTAGTATAAAGTAACCATCAAACAATAATGTTTTCTCAAGTCCCTAAGATCCAATTCATATGTAACACAAATGGAAACTTGGAGAACTAAGTGATAAAGTATTAGAAGCTACTTCATTCAAATAATAATGTTTAGCTGCTCCTGCAAAATATTTGACAAAAAAATATATCATCTCACTCTTTCATTCCTCTCCTAAGGCTGAAGCCATTTCAAGGTTGGGGACACTTTGTATGTAAAGGTAAGACTCCTTGGTTATCAATGAAACCGAAAGCAAAAAAGACTTGTTAGCAAGATTTTTGGCTTATTCTATATTGGAAAAAATTTAAGGACAATGCATGTATTTTAATGATCCTATCTTTGGAATGCACCAACTATAGTTTCATATTACACTCTTTGATCGACCTGGAAACATCACAAATTTATATGTTTCGCATCTACTTACTTATTTTTAGGGACATTTAAACCTTTTTCAAATTATAGCAGAAAAACAAAAAACTCCCCCTAGTTGCCAATTCACCTCGACAACCAACACTTAAGCTTTTACAGGGAACCTTAGGTTCCCTAACTATAGCCGTGGGATATGCTTCAAGTTGTAGATACGATCTTCATTCCGTAATTGTTGAACTCTAAAAAAGAAAAAAAAATTATGGTGTTGTAATTGTACTTTAAAAAAATGCTGATTATTTGTATTCATCTTCATAAATAATTTCTATTTGAACCTATGAAATTAAAAATACCACGCTATTATATTTCAGCATGTTTTACTTTCCAGTTTCTAAATTGAAAAAATATATATATGTTTTAAAATTTGGTGACATTGATATATATAAGAAAACTACAATAATGAGCTATAAAGATTTCGATAGTATTATTGATATATAAAAAAAGAAAAAAGTGTAAATCAAATGGGCATATAGCTCAGATGGTAGAGCGTTTGCTTAGCATGCGAGAGGTACGGGGATCGATACCCCGGATCTCCAAATTCCTATTTTTCCCCCAATTTTTACCAAAATGAGATCTTCGCAGCCGCATCAGTAATTGACCCAACAGCAAAGAAAAGAACAGCAAATGGGATCGATGAGAAAAAATGAACGTAAATTCTTCTTGTTCTTTTGCTCCAAAAAACTGAATATATAAATTCATTTTAACTCGACGAAGTGGATAATTAGTTACATTGCGAGAGTTTGAAGTTTCAGTTTCAGATGAGAAAACTTGTCCTTTTCATGTAAGAACATGGTTCCCATTCACTTCTCTTGATCCTCTGAGGTGTACCTGCCATTATCTTCTGTAAATACAGACAAATATTGAATGGATCTTCATAGCTGCCCATTATTCCAAAGATGGTATTCCAGTTTCCATTTTGATTTGAGGCCAGAGTTCCCACATCCATAGTAAGAAAAATCCATCTCTATTGCTCTTGGTTGGCATTCTTTTCGATATAAATCACAAGAAGTCCGTAGTCATTGATTAATTTCACTATAAAGCTACACAATTTGTTTACGCACTGCTAAGCGTGTCGAGATGGCTGAACTGCTTCATTCTAGTTCAACGGGTGTTCTCAACATTAAGCTTCAAACAGAACTCGAAACATCTGTCTGTTCTTTTAGTCCTCCACAGATGTAACAACACAGAACATTAAAAAGGTAATCATCAACATAAGATTAATAGTTTAGCCATTGGCACTCTGCCCAGGTGCTTTCGTGACGCTCTTTCCTCTCATCCAACCTCTGACATTCTCAACATCTTCCCATCTCCCTTCTGCCGCCAACATATTTGACAGCAACACATAATTACCAGAGTTCCATGGTTCAAGACTGATGAGTTCTTTCACTGCCAGTTCTGCAAGTTTCAAGTTACCATGAGTTCGGCAAGCACCTAGCAAAGCACCCCATAAAGTAGCATTTGGCTGCATCGGCATGCTTTTAATCAAGTTGTGAGCCTCCTCCACAAGTCCGCTACGTCCCAAAAGATCAACCATACAACCGAAATGTTCAAGTTTTGGCACAATTTTGTACTTATGCATCATTGAAGAAAATATCTCTCGACCCTTCTCTAACAATCCCGAATGAACACAAGCGGTCAAGAGGGCTACAAACGTTGCATCGTTAGGCTTCACATCCTTCCTTCCCATCTCCATAAAAAGGTCTGTAGCAAGTTCTCCCTTCCCATTTAAAGCAAAGCCCAAGATCATTGTATTCCAAGAAACAACACTTTTGCAAGTCATTTTGTTGAAAATGTTGTAAGCCCCTTCTGTATTCCCACATTTACAGTAAAAATCGAGAAGCGAGTTCCCAACGAATGTAATATCTACCAAGTTTCCCTTCGAGCTCGCATAAGCATGGATCCTTTGTCCAACAACGGGAGCTCCTAAACGAGAACATACAGGCAATATTGTAACCACAGTAACCTCATCTGGCGCAAAACCCTGTTCTTCCATCTGTTGAAACAGTTCTAAAGCTTCAACATCACGCCCACTTTGTGCTAGACAGGAAATAATGGTGTTCCAAGAAACAATACTACGGTCACTCATTTGCCTAAAGAGATATATCCCCAAATCCACATTACCCGTCTTACAAAACCCACGAATCATCAAGTTCCAAACAATCACATCCCTATGAGGCATTGCATCGAACACCTTCTTCGCATCCTCCATCCTCTCACAACAAACGTACAACTCAACCACCCCAATACGAATAGACCCAAAATACTCAAACCCACGTCGCAGAACTTCGCCCTTCACACACTGACCAAGCTTGTAATCACAAAGATTCGAACAGGATTTAAGCAACGGCGCAAAAGTGTACTCGTCGGGAACAATCCTCTGTTTCTTCATGGAGGAAAACAGGAGAAGGGATTGTTCAAAGGGGCCACATAGGGAATGGGCTTTAATCATGGAATTGAAGAGAAAAATGTTCGGATTTTGGGATTGGGAAAAGACGCGAATCGCATATGGCATCTTGTCGAGAGCCCCACAAATGGAGATGAAATGGGCAAGAATTTGATTGGATTGGTGAAGGCCATGGCGGAGGAAATGGGCGTGGGTTTGAGTGAGATGCATTCGAGTTTTGTGGCCATGAAGAAGACGCAGGATCTTCCGCTCAATCTCACGAAAATTTTTGTTCATCTTACAGAGAAAAATGGAATACGGCACACAGAGAAGAGGAAGAATTGAAGAACTGGATTACGAAATAGGAACTTTGGCGGGTAATAGAACAAGAAGATTAGAGGGGTATAAAAGTAATTACAGAGTGAGTTTCAGATAATGTGGGAGCGGTATGCAATTTTTTCATCCCAAGACTGAATTTCTTCCCTTTTTATGTAATGTCACTTATTTAAATTTCAATAATTAGAAATTTAGAAGATGTCACACCGACTACATTTTTTTGTTGTTTTTATTCGTGACAACATTGAACGAGCTTGATAGGAAATTTAGAGAACCACATTATTAAGTAGTAAAATTCGAGACTTTTGAGGCTCAATAATGCACAACAATGGTCGAGCTTCGACCAACATGTGAGAACAATATTTCCAACGAGTTAGGTAAAACTTTACTAAGAGATTCAATATCTTTATTTATCAATTTCATTTTATTATTTAAAGAAAAATTATGAAATCCTTGTTAACTTTTCATTAAATATATATATATAGTGAAATATATATATACACACATATATATTGACTACATGTGTAGTTATTTTCTAATAGTCAGAATATCGACATGTCAATACCAACTTAAGCATAGTTGTATAAGTTCGAATTCCTACTCCCATGTATTGTTGAACTCGTGAGAGAAAAGATTGACATATCTAAAATAATATATGTATTCAAGTTTGAAGCGAATTTGACAAGTAATTTTTATAATTTATTTTAATTTTTAAAAATATCAGGTCAATATTTACTAACCTATGCTAGAATTGTGCATTGCCAATATTTTGGAAACCAAAAATAAGAAAATTAAGAACAAGTACATATTTTCTATAACAAGTTGGATCAAGCTCATCTCAAAACTGACCTAGCAACTAATTTCATCCCGAGACATGAAGAAACATTGTATATAACATATGAATTAAATGTTACAGCAAATGGCCATGTTAAGCTCTTCTAATTCTTCAATGTTCATATTGAAAATCTTCAGAACATATAACTTACAGTCTTGGGAGGTGGGAAACCCAAGTTTGGACCTTCCCTTGCACATCAGTTCAGATAAAATAACTCTGTAAGGATCACAGGGGCAAAGCTAGAAGATGAATCTGTAATTGTCACTTCTTGGATGAACGGAAGCCCCCGAATCCCATCATTGCCGCAACGTCGGGATCAATTTCGGGTTCCTCTTCTGCTGCCTTCTCTTTCTACACTCGAGGAGGAAAACAAAAGTGTAGAATGTGATCTTCTCTTTCCGTAATAGAGACTGCATGTTTTTGGCCTAAATGATGAAATGGTGAAAATGAAATCACAGTACTAACCTTCTTCTCTTTCTTCCTTTCTCGACGCTGGCGTCTCCGTTCTTCTTCTTCTTGTTGCTGCTTTACTATACGCTCTTCAAGATCTAAGGAAAGACAGAAAAGATAGTGCATCAGTTTCCATCACTCAACAAATCATAATTCTGAAAAATGAAACAAAAGAATAGTAATGATATCCGGTTATGATAAATTTTTGGAGTCAATCATGCACATAATAATAACAATAACAATCCATCTATCCATCGTGAAGCAAAACTAACTTATAAGCCTAACCTTGCTCTGTGAAGCTTCCAGGCGTTTTTCTCTTCTTAAGAACTTCAAACCGCTCCTGCACCTATTTCACATAAAAGCAACTTAGCCCCGTAGACACCGAGATTTCATTTCACAAATATCTATAATAATAGACTAGACAAATAATTCCATCTTCCTAAGTATTTACTTTAGAGTACCTGCTCCAGAGATGCCCGTTCGACCCGCATGGACATACCCAAGGCTCTCTGATCTACAACATAAAGTCAATAGAATAACAAGGTAAAGAAAATATAAAGCCTGGATATTTCACAAAATTGGTTAAAGTTGTGTCGAAAGTTGATAGCGTACGTTTCTTTCCATTGATGTGATCCAAGTAATTTGCAGAATCCTTGACCACACATTCGCAAACGGAACAGTAGTATCCAGCCTGAAGAAGAAATCATTAATCAGAAAAATAATAAGGTAGCAAGTGCAAATTATACTTCATGACAGGGGCACACAAGGGACACACTCAGTTCAAGAGCACAATTACCAAAACCAGACATGCAAAGCCACCTTCACCTTTTCCTCTCAGCTTTTCTTTTCAAGTGCTCAAATTTATTTCAAGATTCAACTTCAGCAATTGTGAGAGAAAAGATAGTTAAGTGTAATACCTGCTGGCTTAGAGGTGCAACTGGAGTCACAACCTGCACAAAGGTGATTCATCATTCAACCATCAATCCAAGTATGATACAGTTCAGAATCACGACAGTAAACAAGAGCCAATGACCTGTTTTTTAATCCATATCATATGTAATTAACAGAGCAACTGTGATCTTAGATTTAGAAAGCTATTTTACCAAGTATATGTAAGACAACTGAAGTTAATAGTCTATTTGCCATTAATCGAGAGTGACTATTCACCAGTTCATAGGAGAATTCATCCAAATAGGAGGCCTAATGAATAAAACACATGCTGTAAATTCACATTCAAAATAGTCATTCCCCATCATATAAGTGCCTTTATATAGGAAATATAATATGCCAGTTAAACATGTACGGGTAATATGAAAACTAGTCTTATATGTCTGGAAATGATGCTCCATAGAGCTTGAATCTACATCCATACAGAGGCCACAGCCAATCTGACAGCCTAAAATTTTATATACTTGAGTTTTTGAAAGTTAATGTGCTATTTGCAGAACAGAGTGGAAAAAAAAAACATAGTAGCTCAAGACGGTCTTTGCTTCTAATAGAACCCCTATTAATAAACAACCAAAACTCCATGAACCATTACAAAAGAGAATTTCAAATACAGTTTTTCCAACAGAGAGACCAAAATACAAATTGATTCGAGTAACAGAGAGAGCCTGGCCCGACTTACCTGAGTCTTTCCCAAGCGGGACTCGAGGTCTACCTCATAATCTCTATGTTTCAATGGTTTTCTCTGCACTGGTGGACCTTTCACTGCAGAAAGAGGACAAATTAAATTCGAACCATCAAACCAAGTCTACATATTATAGCATCTATACTTACAGGTGAACACAAGAAAATACTAAACAGAACCCAAAAACAGCAGGAAAGAAAATTCTTACATTTGGACTTAACCCTCTCAGCCTCCTGAAATACATTTTAAAAACGTCACAATCAGCAAGAGGAAACATTTGAGGAACACTCGCGTAAATAAGCACAGCATGATTATGAGAACGATAAATTCCAAAAGCCCCAACCTGTTTTTCACGGTCACGAGCTCGTTCCAAATACTCCTCTCGATCAAATTTCCTTCTGAAGGTGTTATCAACTCCAGCCGCCTACAGAAAAGAAATCGTCCGAAATTAGTTGCAAATACAGCACATCGTATTGCGATAAAGAAAGAGTAAAAATTCTTGATTATTCTGAATTATTCCGCTTGCTTTATCCTATTAAATGGGGAAAAAATGGAGAAGAAGCACTCGGACCATTCTAGTAGAGATAGAGCATCAGTGACTTAGGGTTTTAAAATCAAAACAGGCGATAAGAACTTACAGGATTGCTGGTATGAGCCATCGCTGCCTCAAAAAACTTGACCTAACTACGGAAACTCAAATTTGATTCTTCTGAAAAACAATTCCAAGAGAATATCAATAAGCAAAAAGGAAGTAACAAGAATGGATACGAATTCGAGAGCAGAAGAACGCCGAATGAGAGCGGAAGCTTTAGAAGACAAGATGAAAGCGTAAAATCAAAGATTATCATAGAAAAATTAGGAGATGGAGACGCACAGGGCGTTTGGTCTAGTGGTATGATTCTCGCTTCGGGTGCGAGAGGTCGTGAGTTCGATTCTCGCAACGCCCCCAACAACTTTGGCCGCCGGCCGGTTGCCGGTTTTTGATCCTTTTGCTCTCTCTGCTTGATGRTTTCACCGGTGCGATATGGCAGTTTTCAACCCTGATTTTTCTTGCTTTTCTTTTGCTTCGATCTTTGAAAGTGTTAATATTGGCACTTTCGATAAACTTTTTCTTTCTTTTTTTCTTTTTTTTTTCTTATCAATTTCAGAAGATAAATTTAATCCTTCAGAAAAGGAAAAAAAAAACATGTTTAGTTCCTCTGACCTTCTTTAGAAACTCATTTGCGCTAATATAAAATAAAGAAATATATGGATGAAAGTATGGTTTATCAACTTAATATTTAAAAACTAGATAATAAAAACAAAATGATTATGGACCTTAATTTTTTAAAATAACACATTATAATTAAAATTTTCAATTCAATTATATTCGCATTTCGCTCCAGGGAAATTTTGCTTCACGTAAAAATTTAATATGTGTTCTAAAAATGTCACAACTTTTTATTTATTCTCAAATATAAAATTGTGCAGAGTATATGGACCGCGAGCCCCAACATAATAAAATTATATAAATAAGCCTTTGTGTAGTGGTGCACTTCTCAAAGTTCTCAAAGTTCTCCTAGTTGCTGGAGTTCGTCTCTTCGTCCATGCATTTTTCATTTAAAAATATATAAAAAGAAAAATTCTTACGTTCATTCTAAATAAATATTTAGAATACATTTTTTGTTTGATATGTTTCTATTTGATCTCTAAATTTCAAAAGCTTATAGTTTGGACTTGCATTAGAGTCTAAGGTTGGAGCTTTTTATAGTGAGAGAATTTGTAACGAAAACGAAGAAAACAATATAACAGAAACAAGAGATAGAGTGTATGGAAGAAGAACCTTTCGTTACAAATGAAAATATGTTTTAGTTAAAATTCATAAAACAAAAGTGTATTTTACTCTAAATTTTAAAAACTACAATAATTAAATTTACAAAAGAAAGTGTGGAGACTGGGACTTTTTGAGATCATTTAGCAACGTTCTCATTTTCAATTATTTATTTAGTTTTTGAAACATGTGCATCTGAATTCTGATCTCTATAAACATTTTAGAAGAAAAATGTATAGTTTATTTTTCATTTTTTCCTATTATGAACTATATTCCAGCACAAGTACTGACACGAACCAAATTTGTTCTCTCTTTTCTACGAGATTTCTCTTGCATTCTAATGTTTTCTGATTTTCTCTTTATGTTATTGGAGATTCTCATGTTTTTAAACGGGTTCGAAACTGCCATTTTTTTGTTACCCCAAACTATTACCACCAAACTGGGTCAACAATGCTGGCGCAATTGTGTTGTGGGCTGAAAGGGATGGACAATAGAGGCCCAATACCAAGGCCCATAAATGGGGTTGTTGGGTTTGGCAATGGGCCAAGGATGAGAAGCAGACAAAAAGAAGTGGGCTCAGTGTCCATCCCATCAGCTGTGGGGGGTGGGTGGATAGGATGTTGACAGTGATAGAGACTTTCTCTGTACTTCTTGTTGATGGGTCTTGTAATAGCAAGAAAATGATGGTGTTGGACCATGGGGGATTTGTTTCTCACGCCAATAATCTCGATCACCGCATCAATTCATCTTTTAAGAACGTCAATCTAAATATAGTTCAATTAATTAGGAAAGGTACGAGATTAGATGTTCAAATTTCTACCCCATGTATTTGTTGAACTCGAAACAGAAAACTCATCTTTAGAGATGGCAAAAACAATTTTTACAAGAGGTTGAAGTCTCCATACGATGTCTTATTCTTTCAGTGATGTGACTTTAATCTTCGAGACGTGTCGTGGTAGGTAGTATTAAGAAAACTTTGCCCGAGCAATTAGGTTAGCTTTACGAATGTTCAATCGTTTGATCCTTTTGTTTTTTCTTTTCCAATAAGTGTGATTGTTCTGATTGTAACAAATGTATTTTGACTTATACTTGAGACTCTCTTGACAATAATGAAAAGATTATGTTCAGTTGTAGTCTTTTATCTTTTGATTAAGATTTGCTAGATATTACTATCTTTAGTGAAAGGTGATAAAATCTAACATGGTAAATTATTTTTAGAGATGGCAAATGAGTTTCATGATGTAATAATTTGGTTGTAATTCATGTCAGGATTGAAAGCATCATTTTGATATTGAAGAAAATAAATTAGGGTTTATCTTGACCTCAAGTGCAACCAAGAATGTCTAGCTTTTAGACTTTAAAATACAGCAACTCGTCGTGTTAGATTTTGTTATTTCAGGAATTTATTTCATTTTATCAAAAAGCAGGAAGAAAAGATATTAGCAACGTATTAAAAGACAAATATTCAATGAACAATGCATGTTTCATCATTAAAAATAGATATTTTAACCATATGAGAGGAAGAAAACAAGAAGTCAGAACGAGTATAATTCAACTAGTTAAGACATGTATCCTCGATCAAAAGGTCAGAAGTTGAAATCTTCACATCGTGAACTTAAAAAAAATACCATAAATAAAAGAATGATTGTGATGTTTGTTGAGAACCACCCATGTGAGCATATGAAAAACCTACCAAAGCATTTTAGTAGGGGAAATGTCTAGGAAAGTTTGGTCACTTCACTTGTGCAGCTATGGGAAGAAAGAAACAAATGTCTTTCTTAACTTCTTCCCACCTCCCCTTTCACAAAGTAGTCAACCATATGTTGCAGAAGTTGGTGCTTTCCTTAAAAAACTAGAATAAAACAACCCCCATCCCAACCCCGATTCAACCTCTAGATCACTCTACCCATGAGATTCTCGATACCAAATATTGTAAGGTCATTGCTGAGATCCTATGAGATCAATTGAGTCCCCCCACCTCCTCGATACCCTGGTTCACCCTCATATCAAAATCACCAACATCGAGCCAAATCTCACTCGCCACAAATTTTCCAACATCAAATGTTGTAGAACTAGGCTTTGATCGAACGAGATCACCTGAGATACTCCTCTAAAAGATCAAAATCCACAGCATTGGTTTAGATCTCTCTCCCCCACGAGTTTTTCAACACCAAATATTATAAGATCGAGTTGTGTGGTCCTATGAAATCTATTGAGGTGTGTGTAAACCGACCCAAAAGAAATACATGTAAAAACAATCAAGTCAAATATTTCCATCACTCACCCACCACCCATCTCTTTCTCCTTTATGCTAATGTCCAGGAAACAGCATGGCCCCATAGAGATTAGAGATACAAAACGCTTGGGTTAATTCATTGGGACATAACATATCCATATCCACTTCCCCACCCTATTGGCCATTATTCTCACAGAGCTTCCTAATTCAGGCAAAACAAAATCAAACTCGAAAAGTTTTACCTTTTCTCCTACCACTTCCTTTTAAACAAAACAAATTCACTTTTGTTTCCAAAAATAAAAATGAAAAAACCAGTGATTGGATCTCATCAACAGTCTGGACCCTACGTAATAAAATAATATATCTATCGATTACTCGATTACATGACTCTATGGCATACCCCTGAGTCTTGTCTATCGGGCCTGGTCTTAGGGTGGGCAAAACAGAACCTCGTTGAGGATTACGGGGTGGGTATGAGCATAGTATGTAAGGAAACTCGGGTTCCCGATACACTGAATATCAAAAATAGAAGAAGAAGAAAGGAAAATTTACCTTAAATCTCTTCCAAGTATCCAGCAAAAGGTAGGCAGGGCCACAGAAGATGAGAATAGCACCAAAAGAACATAAAGTTATCTCTTGCAATTTGTCTGTAAATGGGTCATCCCTTGTGGATCCGTAGGTTAAGATGGGGCCTATTCTGCTGCCCTCACACAGCAATGTCCCATCAAATAACATGTGAGCCATAGCCATATAATTGATTTCATTTCTCACACTTAACCAAAAAAATCAACACTATTTCTCTCTCATCATCATCATCATCATCACAGTTTGGTTTAGGGTTTCAACACAAACCCCATAAAAAGTCACTAATGCATCATTCATCATTGCACAACCACAAAATGCACAGATTCAACACAATTACAATCTTTTTCTCTTTATGTTTGTCTATGGTTAAAGAGGAAAAAGTAAGAAGAGATCTAAGAGGTTGTTTCCAACTTTGGAGATATTCTCTGAAGTTTTAGATTCAAGTCCTCAAGTGAAAAATTTTTAAATCCAAAATCCTTGATGTGTCTCCAATCCGCCTTTTCAGGTGGGTGGAACTTCTTTGAAGATTAGTAGAGGAGTGGGCCATGAGCATAACGCAAAGAGTGTGCTCTCCGATACCCAGTTATTAAAAGAAGAAAAAAGAACACCGTTTCTAACTTTAAAGAACAAAAACTCAATACAAAATATTTGGATGATTTTATTTTATTTTATTTTTCCCCTTAAAGAGTTACATTCTTGCTCCAACCTGTTCTTAGAACAACTAAAACGCTTCCAAAACCATAGATTACTTTATGAGTTGTTCAATCATAGTTCTGAAAAAACAACTTCTAAAATCAGAGGAAACAGCAACAAATATTATATAAACTACATTTGAGAGTAGCATTTGTTTAGAAGCTGTTGTCTAGAGTTTGTTCTTACTCCCACAATCATAAACTTCCACAAGCTAAATCTCATCTTATACACAGATTTTTATGGAGAAAATGGGAGATAGATAATAATCTTAGCTGACTGAAACAGTGCAGCAGAAGAAAGGGTATATATTACAATGCTGGAAGAAACAGTAACTTAACACAAAAGCCATTGGGGGTGTTATAAAAGAAACACCCCATTGATTTCTAAATTCTACAAACACCCCCTTTGTGATGGGGTCCTCAGAAACTTGAGCTCTTTTGGATTAGAAAAAGAAGAGAAGATCAAAACAATAACAAGAATACATTAATATAATCATCATCTTAGCAGAGAGAGCAAGTTTCAAGAAAAGGCAAAAGGAAAAATTGCTATACAATTTTCTTTGAAATGAAAAGCTAGCTATATCTTATTGAATTTATTTGTCTTGTTTTTTTACCTGGAAGAGACAGAGTTTAAAGCCCTTGCAAAGCCATTGACAGCTCCATAGCCCTTTGAGCTGAATCCCAAGCAGCCAAGCAAGCCTTGTCTGTAAGGCAAGAATGTCTTCCTCCTCAGCTCCTCAGCTTGAGCTCTGTTTTTTGTGTAGTGCAACTCGTGAGGCGACGGTGGAATCCGCCGTTTTCCGACGCCGTTCGTCGGCTTTCCGGCCGCCGGCTTCTTCGCCGGAGCTTGCCCACTTCCCCCTTTAACCTTCTGTGCTGATGGTTTGGCAACCTTTTGCTTTGGAGCAGATGAAGTGGAAGTGGAAGTGGATGCTGCTTGATTTGTGGGAGGTTTTTTCTCTTTTGCGGAAGAAAATGAAATGTTGGACCAGAATTTGTGATTACTGCTTCTTCCTTCGCTCTTGCTTCTGTATAGAAAATCCTTCAGAGAAACCCATCTCTTCGAGTTTCTTCCGGCGGAGGAAGATCTTGAAGACGAAGCAGAAACTGAAGGAGTGGTCGTTTCTGAACTTATAAACCCTTCTTCTTCGTTCTTCTCCATAGTTTTCCCCTCTTCGGAATCGTTCTCCAAAAAGCCCTCTGCATTCAAATCTCCATCGTCGTTTTCCGTCCATTCCGGCGGCGTATTCCTCAGCGGCGACATAGATCTGGTTCTCCGCCGGAGAGACTTATCGCGAAGCCGCAGATCTCTCCCTCTAACAAACCCTACAATTTCTCCCCCTTCGTCTTCTTCATCTTCCCCTTCAAGATCCAGCAATGGCGCCAGAACCTGAGGCTGTTCCAAGTGAGTCGAGAGCTTCATCGGCCGGATCTTCCCGTTCAAGAACAACTCATCCGCCGAGCTCATGGACCCGACTGAACCGGAGCCATTAGACCCGAACCTCCCGGAGAACTCGAACTCAAACGAAAACGAATGGCTATCTTTCAACGAAGACGACGGCAACTGAGCAGATGAGCTCGAGGCTTTAGTTATGGCGAAATGCATTGGACTAGCCGGAGCGCTGTAATAGAATCCACCAACGGGTCCACGGCCGGGGCTCGAAGGGGCACTGACATAAGGAGTGGAACAGGCGCTGTCGACGTCTTCAAAGACCGATTGGGGATCATGAGCACCGTGAGTTGCGCCATTAACGGATTCTTGAAGCTCGGTTTTGATATCTGAATCCAAGCTTTCGCCGCCATTGTTGCTGGTTTGGAGCTCCATTTGCTCTGCAATCTATTTTCTGCGCCAAACTGAGAAGAAGCTCTGAGAAACGAAGGAGCGTGGCTGCGACTTAATAATTTGGGAGTGGTTTACTAAATTGCCGTTCAACTTCGCGTTTATTACATCTATGCCATTGTCATGATTTTTCCAAAACACCCCTCGATGGCAAGATCCATGTCCATTTTCCTAAATTTATATTTGGTAATTTAAATGGATGTTTTTTTTAGGCAAATTTAAATGGATGTTATTATTTATTGGCTTCACAAAATTACATTTTGTATTCAAAAATAATATTGGAAATTTAAACATAAACATAGAAAAAATATTTATTCTGCGCACTTCTTTCTTTAGGTTTAAATAAAACTAAAAAAGTCTCTGTATTTCGACTTTGATTCATTTTGGATTTTATTTTTATACTTTTAAAGAGTGATTATTTTTTCTTTATTTCCAAAATTTTAACAAAAATTTATGGGTACATTGTAAGAAATTTAATGTATATAATGATAAATAAATTATTATGAAATGATTAAAATAGTTACTTTTTAAAAGAATATGAGATATAGATACATAACAAAAATTGAAAGTATAAGGATGAAATGGATATTAATTTTTTATTCTACTGTTTTTTTTACTTCTTATTTTATTGTTTTTTAGTGTTGTTGCAATTGTATCTCTTTTTTTGTTATTGTATTATTGTTTATCTAGGAAGAATATGAGATATAAATAGAACCGTTAAAGTAGTTTGTTATAAGATGCTTTTAGCTACTTACCTTTAATTTAAAACGAGTTTTTCAATTTAAGTAAAATTTAGAGAATACAAAGAGCAACAAAATAAATCTTTTGAAAATTAACTTTTTTTTCAAGTTCTCCAAACTTAATAATTTAAAAAACATATCTAAAAATAGACCCAGAAAACAAACACAAACAGTGTCATTCTAAACCAAAATTTTATCAAACGGAGTCCTTGATTGATCTATCTAGCATTAAAATTGTAAGACGATTTGATGAACAAACGTCAAAAAGTCACAAAATAAACTACCAAACCAATCAAAATTAAACTAAAAGAAACTCGAGAACGAAACCGACTAATAAATATAGTTCAAACGAACTAGATTCGATTGATTTTTTCGGTTTTCACCTCACTAGATTTCAAGGACTAAAATAAAATATTGAAAAGTTGAGAAGTTGAGAGGGGTAAAATGGGTATTAAACAAAAATGGTAGTTAGATGATGAAAATGGAGGGGTAATTAGGGCCAAGGGGAGGAAGCACATAGGATTCTAGGCTTGGGTGAAAAGGTAAGGAGGGACCGAAGCTGAGGTTCGGAGTCCGAAGCTGGGACACAGATTTCAATCAATAATGAATGATGAAACCCATCAACTGTTTGATTAAATTAGGTGATAGTAATCAGAAAAAGGGAATTAAATGTAACCTAAAAACTGCATGAAGTAAGCAGAATTCACACTTTTCTTTTCCTTTTTTTGCTCTTTTTAGCTCTTTTCCCAATGAAAAGAGAATATTTTGCACCAAACAAATTTTACTCCCATTTACCAATACCCTCTTTTAGCTTGAAATTCAGATATTTGGATTTGTATATTTCATATTTGGACTCTATATCCAAGGTTTAAATCTTGTTTTATTCTGTCAATCCATCATGGTTAAAAGATTAATACACTTATTTTCATCTTATTTTTTACACGTTGTACTAAAAATAATATATTTTTTTAATTTGTGTACATTCATATCTATTTTTTATTTATTTTGGTTAATTTTTAAAATGTTTTATTTTCAATTTTTTTTCAATTTAGTCCTTATAATTTTAAGACTTCTGTTTTAGTGATTGTATTTTAAAAAAGTGATCAATTTAGATTTAGTTATTGTTTGTAAAAGTTTAACACTCAACCTCCGACCTCAAATGAAAGGAATAAGATAACTGTAGACATTTTTTTTTTTTTTAATTTATGTTTGGTTTTGAAAGCTAAAAGCTCCGTGGTAAAATAATGTTTTTTTCTTCTTCTGTTAGAAAGTTCGGCTAATATTTAAACAGACAAAACACAAGAATTTAGTTTTCAATAACTTAACTATAAAACGTTAAAAACAAAAAATCATGAAAAAAGAAAAAGAAACATAATGATCTTTTTCTTTTATTTTTTTAATCTATTAAATTAAACCGATTTAAATTAAATCTTTTACTTTTATCATATTTAAATTTATAAACAAATTATATTCCATCATGTGAGAATGAGGATTGAAACCTCCTATTTTTAGTCAAAAAATATATAATTAATTAATAACCTCAAAATTATTATTATAATATAGATTTGAATCCAATCTGGAGGGTAATAAAATAACTAAAAGAAAAAAAACACAAGTAGCATATAAAATATTATCTAATTTGAAGAGATGACATAGGATCACATGTAAAGGATGTGAATTGAAATTTTTGAAAATTTTCTTAAATTCATAAATCAAGGTAGATATTGAATAAAAATTAATTGAAATTAATTATTAAGATATAATGAAAGATTTGAAAGTCAACATCATATCCTAAATGGTTGATTTTCACTTCAAATTTTTCAACATGTGACAAGAGAAGATATTCAAATATGATAATATGAAAATTTTCAAGAAATCCAGAGAGGTTGAAAATAATCTCTTCTAAAAAATAACCAAAATCTTCACCAGAGAAGTTCCCCCTTTGTTTTTTTAATTTATTTAATTGGTTGATAAAATTAAATATTAAAAATTACACGTGCTTTCATATATAATGTAGAAGAAATCACTTTTCAAAAAGAAAAAAAATCGAAATTTTATTTTTTAAATGTAGACAATTACTTCTATAAAATATTCAACACTTCAATAAATAAGTTAATTACGTATTTAATAAATATAGGTTTTCAAATAGTGGGACTTATTTTATTTGGTTCATTATCATTTTTTTATTATTTAACAAAAAAAAACTAACTTAAAATTATTTTTATATTCATTTGCCTCATTAATAAATGTCTACCTGTAATTTCTTATATGTAATTATTTTGAGTCATAAAGCAGATTACTATTCTTGTTAAATGATTAGTAAAAACTTAAAATTGGGGCTTTGATTTAGTCTCTAAAGTAAATTTCAATACCTAAAGAATATTTAATTTAAAAGTTTAAAAGAAGCAAAAACATATAGGTCGTGATTAGGTTAAAGTCATCATCTAGCAAGTTCGACTCACAGACAATCAACAAGTGAAGCACCGATTCTTTTACACCAGTTCTATTAAGAGATTGACACTTGGCAACTCACGAGTAACATATAGATTCATTGTTGCCTTTTACTCATTCCCTTTCTTCTGATGGTCCTTTCTATTCTTTTTCTAGTATGGTTCCCCGGTAAAAACACCGAACGCCCAAATAAAATTCGAGAAATTTTTTTTTCCCATCTAACCCCTCGAGTCAAGGGACTGCTAACCCTAAAATTTTCCTCTAGTCAGCATTGCCATTTTTTGCTAACCCTAAAAAAAAAAAAAAACTGTTAGTGATGATGGAAAGTACTTGAATCCAGAAATCACAGCTTCCTCTGCAATATTTGTCTGCCAATCCCATTAGTACCACCACCAGCTCTACACTACATGAAGGACAATCAGTATGACAAGTTTTCTTTTCCAAGAAAACAAAAGAAAAAAAAAAGAATCTAAAAGAAACTCACCATCTGACCACTTTACATCATCAGTAAGTCATGTTTGCATTTTGCAACCAGAAAAGAAAAAAGATTAAGCAGAGATCTCACGCAGTAATAAGAAAATCACTGACCAATTCATTTACTAAAGAAGTTAATATCCTCTTCTCAATCTGAAGCCCCTGTTCATAGGCTTCTTGGTCAAAGTTGAGCCATTTCCCATGTTGGGTGCTCATATCCTTGTCCACAAGTTCATCTACCATCCATTCGTCCATGCATTTCCATCCCTCAATCTCCCTCCATAACTCCTCTGCCAAATTACCATTTTCAAACAATTTGGCCCATGGAACCCGAGTTTTCGAACTTCCAACTACTATTTGTTTGAACTTTAGTTCCAAACACTCATTCACGCAGTCGAACAGAACCTTCTGTTCAAGCTTGAAACATTCCGGTGATGCACTGTCTTTGTTATTTTCCTCAATCTCCAGGTTATTGTAGAGACTGGGAGATATGACCATTGGGGCAGCACCCAATGTGAAGTTTTCAAATGCTAGCTCAGCTTTGCTTAGGATATCCCTCACATATTGGAGTTCCCAGTCATCTGATCTGTGAATGTTTATTGGACTCGACATTATAGGTGACTGATTTCTGAACTTGTCTCGGTCATCGATGGTTGATGCAGAGTTGACTACCTGCGTCTCGCCAAGCATTCTTGGGTAGAGATTTGTAAGGTCTAACTTGATTGCATCACCACGTGGAACTGAAGAAGACACACAGCCTGAAAAGAAGAAGAAAAAAGGTAAATACCCAACAAAATTTACTAAATGCGATGCTTGGAATTTACATATCGTCTTACAGTAACAATTTCATATGATTTGGAATGGATGAAACAGATGACCTTTCTTTTTCTTTTTTTCTTTTTATAATTGGGAATTGGAGCTTCCCTCCTTTATACCCAGGGGCACTTGCACCTGCTCTAAAGTCCGGACTCGGGAGACATAAGCCAGTATGACCAAGAGACATCAAGCACTTGCCAACCGGGCTGCCCGTTGGAGGCCTGAAACAGATGACGTTTCAAAGTAGACAACTAAGACAGTCTTCTATTGCTGTCGTATCATCTAATCTATTTCTGTTTTATTTTCCTTTCCCAACATGATGCAAGATTCTGATATCTTCCCCAGATGTGACATAAAATCTAGAATCTAAGTTCCCTTTTTAAACAGAAAATGAACATCCAGAATCTAAATTCCTAAAGTCCCTTGAAATTGCATGATTCTATGCAATTTTCCTGATAAATTTTGGATCGAAACTTACTAGTGACAAACTGATTTTTCAGAGGATGCATTCTTCACATAACTCAAAAAATCCCCAAAGGGAGAAAGAGAGAGAGAGAGAGAGATTAACCATGGATGCTATTTCCATCGTCTGGGGAAAACCCGTCCTCAATTGAAGATCCGCTCACGGTAACTGTTTCAGTGTTGTTGCTATCGTCAAGTTCTTTCATTTCTTTCACTCCCTGAAATTGGAACAAGTTTAAGCATATAGAAAGAGTATTGAGAAACAGCAAATTATTCCCGATTCGAATTATTAAGAGACTCCATTTTCTGTATTAGGAACGTAATGAAAATACCATCAGGTGAGAGATGCAGTAGCAGCAAGGAGAAATACCTGATGCCATTTATTGAAAACCAGATCGTTGCTATCAGTCGACAAGTGGTCACAATCATGAGGACTATCTGAGTATCTGCAGCTCATGTCATTTTCTTTTTTGGCACATTCCAGTGTGGCAAAAGCATTTTGAAAATTGGATCCAGAACAAGAAAGAATGCCATCTCTCTCCATACAAGATTGGGAGGACTCAACCCTACATGTCAATTCCTGAAGTTTTTGTTCCAACAAAACACTTAAAGCATCACCGTTAATGACGTTTAAATTGGGCGAAAATGATGATAGGTTCTTTAAATAATCATTCTCACTACAAGAATCAAAGACCAAGCTGTGGTTAATTTTTACAACCTCGTCCGAGTGAGGTTCTGAGATAGATTTCTTCAGTGGGGATGTGAATGTAAAAGAAACAACGTCCATTCCCAGCTTCCTGTTTTCATCACAGTTCATGGAACCATCAACTGCAATATTATATTTGACAGATCTCTCACCATCGTGGTTCAAAGCATTAGATACAGAACTTCCATCACTACTAACATCCTGACTAACAGATCTTTTTTTCCGTGAGGCAGAATTTCTCTTCGAAGATGCAAATTCTTTTTTAGCATCAGTTTCTCTAGTGCGTGTGATTTTGGATTCTACTTCAGAGTTGAGTACAACCTTGTTTACCGTTTTGCTAGAACCTATGTTACAATTAGCAGACTGAGACCTTTTGACAGGCTGATTCAAGACTGGATGTTTTGAAGGCAATTTTTCTTTGTTGGGTAGAGAATTCTGTTTCTGATTGTTTTGCGCGAGTACATTGTTATTCCTCTTCATGGTTCTCTTCTGCGCAGCCTTTTGCATGCTGGGCTGGCTCTTGAAAATTTGGCTTGATTTTACTTCATTATGCTCTTTCCGATCCATTGAAGCCGAGTCGCTACAAGAAGTTGAATCCCCTTTACTATGAAGATTGACCCTTGCTTGAACTGCAAGAGAAACTGGTCTTCCTTTATCTTTTGAAGTGTTGGAATTACTTCTATCAGCTCCAGCAGACTCCATCTTTGACGCTAGAAGATGTTCTGATCCACCATAGTTCCTGTCACTAGGCTTTCCTTTTCTATACTTGCCAATATAATTTTCTGATGGTTTTTCAGCTCCTGATAACTTACGTGCAGTTTCCACTTTTTCTTTCAAATCCCGGATTCTCAAGGGAACTGAGGAATTGGTAATAGATGTCATTTTACTCTTCACAGGCTTTCGGGGACTAGACTCAATTATCTTGGTGGCTGCCTCCATTAAATAACCTGTGTTCATTGTTGGAGTAAACCCAGGGCTCTTGATAGGAGACAATAACTTATGATGAGTTATAGGAATAGATTTAGCAGACCTTGGAGGCAATACTTCAGTTTGAAATCTCTCGATTGGAGTCTTCGGTATTTTCTGTGCCCTAAAATCTAAGAGATTCCCTGAAAACCTCTCCAACTTGTTGGGCATATCAATATAATCCACAGAATGACCATTCCATACACCATTGCTGTTATCTTGATGAGATGCCCTGACAGAGCGGGATTCTAAATATGGGGTAGAACATGGCTCAGGTACGTTAGAAGGCAATGAATCTAACCCCATAAGTCTGGCAACTACACTCGGGACTCGGCCCCCACATTTTTCATCACTAGTTTTGGTTAAAGCAAAATCCCAATCACCATTTAACTTATAACTAGAACTTGCTCCATCATCAATTGCCTCTATCTGCAGATAGATAATCATTCAGAGAAGAGGATAGATCAAGAAGAAAAAGGGAACAGAAATACCAAGGATCAGAACTAAAAGTAGTTCTCACCTGATAGAGCTGTGGCTTTGACAAGTTATCAACATTTTCTTTGCCTTGCTTCATTCCTTTTTAGGGCAAAATAGGAGGGATCAAAATATTAAATCAGTACACTACATGCTTAAAAGTTAAAAGTTTCTTCAAAATTCATTAAATTCATTTCATTATAAGGGTAAAGCAAGCATAGAACCCGAAATAGCTCAAGCCAAAAAAGTATTGTGTACCAGATAATTCATTGCTGCTTGAGAAAAGCCTTTTCCGAGATTTGCCATTCCAATCAAATAAGTTAAGAAAGCCTCCTTTAGAGCGTTTCTTCTCAACCTCCATTTTCTCATCTACAGAAGGCCTGGACAGCAGCCATTATTTTTACAAGAAGGAATACCAAAACAGAACCCATAACCAAAAATTTCTCAGAATTTATCTCACACATTATCCCAACAGCACAACCAACAACAGAGGAATTTGATCCAATAGGATCGATACGTAGATATTTAGATGGTAAAAAAAATGTAGCAGGAGGAAGGACAATACAAGATGAAAAAAAATGAGAATCCACATTTCTAGTACCAATGAGCCTTCCACGAAACCCTAATTTTACAACAAGAGAGGGAGAACCAAGCATATCTAAATCCTCTCATCAAATAACTATTTAGCATCCAACAAAGAGACCCAAATTTCCCGAATAAAAAACAAATGAGAAAAGACCGAAAAGGAACAGAAATAGCAGGCACTGCACTCCATCAAAATGGTGAACCGAGACCTTCACTGTTCGAACACAAATTTCATCCAAACCCCAGCATCTACGGAGCCGCATTTCCAAATTCGAATTAAAATATTCATCAGTCAGTGAAGAAAACTACCAAACAGTTACTATTTCAGGCATAAACAGAACCCAAAACTCACCCATTCCAATGGAACCAAATACATACCTCTCAGCAAACAGATCCCAATTTCCAAATCGCTGGTTTGTGACAATAACAGATCTAATCGGAAAAAGGCGCAGAAATTGACCAAGATGAAGGGTTTAGAAAGAAGATAACCGTGACGAAGGGAGATCGTCAGGCGCTGAGAGAAGAAGCAGTGAAGCAATGACAGGTTGGAAGAAGACGAAAGCATTAAAAATGGTGGAATGAGAGAGAAAGAGAAGCTGAAAAATCGGTCTCGTGGTGGAAATATTTAAGGAATTGAAGGCTCCTCCCTGCTCTCTGCCCTCAGTGAAGTTCTCACTTGAATGCTGCTCCCTCCATTTCTCTCTCTACTTTCTCTCTCTTCTGCCATGTGAGAAGCAGGGAGGTTTTGTGCTTTGGCCCATATTGCACACCAAGGAGAAAACCCAACTTCGAGGTGGGCCCCACTAAGTCAAAATTAAGATTAATTTAAAAAAATATTTCAAATATTTGGAACGGATCGAATCCGGACCGTTGAATTTTTTTTTTTTTTGTTAACGAGATTTTGTAATAATAGTAAAGAAGAAAGAAAACATAGAGGATAATTTTCTATTGCCTATTTTATTTAAATTCTCGTCTCTTCTTTTTCTCTCTCTACTGAATATATTATATTATAAAGTTTCAAATTTGGAAAAAGCTTTCTTATTGGTTGATGGAAATTTTGGGATGGCCAATTAAATAATATCCTACTTCCCTAGTGTTTTGTTCTTTTTTTATTTGGAAAAATGGAAACTTTGACCCCAAAAAAAAAATTTAATGTGATATATTTTTTCTTTTTAATTACAATGTCTACATGTGGAGATTCGAACTTACGATTTTTTGATCGAAGAGTGCATTAACTAAAATTGAAGATTCAAACTCACAACTATTTTGATTGAAAATAAATGCTAACTATGGCTCAGGTTGGCCAAATTTGATTCATTTTGGTCTTAGACTTTCAAAATGTTTATTTTTTAATATATTTCCAATTTTTCATATATTACTCACAACTTTTTTATTGCAGATAGATTTCTTAACCTATTGAACTATGTTGAGGTTGACACCTTACAAATATTAATTCCAAAGTAAATTGATCAAATACTAAAAAGAAAAATAAAAGTAAATTGATCAAAACTTACATATCTTTATGTACGATTCTAAGTTGAAAAGGGTCAAATGGGGTAGGTTTGGAACATAGTAATACAGCATTATTTTGGAAAACAGTGGTGTGAAATTTATGAGACTAATGAATAATTGTATTATAGTTGTCTTTAAAGGAAGAAACCCAAGTCTCTAAAGTAATAAAATGCAGGTTGAATTAGGTAAAAAATAGAAGTTAAAAAGGCATTTCGATAATGTTCTCATATTGTGTTTCTACTTTTTGAGAAAGATAAATAACAATCTATGACCATCATTTCTCATTTTTAAGAAACGTTTCCAAAATTGTATAGAAATTTTTAAAACAAGGTAATAAAAAAAATTAATTCTTGTTTCCAATTTTATCTCAAATGTAAACAAAGATATTATTTTATCATTCTTAACTCATGAAATGCATATTAAATATTAAAAAAATAAATATAAGATAAAAATTTTGAATACATAATTTAAAGAATTAATTTTCATATATAAAAAATTAATTTTTAATTTAAATATGAGGGAACTAAAAACAAGAAATAATTACCAACATTTCTCTAAAACACAAAAAAGAAAAAGAAAAAAAAAGCAAGAAATAAAGAAAGAAGAAGAAGGAAAGAAAATTAAAGATAAAACCAGAAACCCAAAAATGTTACTCAAAGAATCCTAAAATATTGGTGGTTTGCTTCCATTATTAAAGAGAATAGTATTTTTGGACAACTATTAAATAGAACAGTTGAAAAATACGTTCTAAATTATTCAAGTTATAAATAGTTTATAATAGTGAAATTAAATGCTCTTTAATTCCACCTAATTCGAGGAGGTATTTTTCGCTCTTAAATTGTCTGTTATTTTTTTATTTTTTTATTTTTTATCATTCTTCAAAGTGGAAAAGGAAGAACGTGTAATCTCGAATGAAGGTTTTGACTTTTGAGTCCACATGTCAGTTTGTTTATTTCGAAATTAAATTAACTTCTAAAATTCGCATCTCATGTTTCACCAATTTAAGTTTTTTAATACTCATCTTAATAATTTTTATACATCCCAAGTCCACACTTTCCCAATTTCAAGCTACACAAGTTCAAAATTTCATCAACCAAAGTCTTCTAAATAAATATGCATTTTAATCAAATTTTAATAGTCGCTGTAAAGACAAATTCACATTCAAAGTTATGAAGCTAAAGTCAAGAAATTCATAGTTAACCACACCTCAACTGATTTAAGACATATATCATCCACTGAGAAATCGGAAGTTTGAATCTTCATCCCACACATTGTTGAGTTCAAAAAAACAAAATGTCAAGATACCCATCAAAATAGGAAGTTTAAATATCCTAATCTGAAGCAAACAAAAACCGAAATATAGTGGCACAATCTTAGCATCCTCACCAACTATCACATCCCAAAATAACGTTGAAAGATAAATAGAAAAATACATTAAAAGTTAGAAAACTTTTCAAACTAGCTATGCTATAAATGTCTAAAACAAAAGAATTACAAAACTTTGGAAAAACCCACCACCAAATAAGAGAGACCATACCTGGACTTGTAGGAGCTAAAGAATCAACTGAGACTGCCTTGAAATATATGTGTGAGCTCCATTTGAGAAAGCAAACCTAACAAAATTTTCCAAGTTGAACACGGAAGCCAAGAAACTCGTCAGAAACATGTGTAGGAACATGAGTAGAGAATAGACACTACATAAGCAAACTCACAATGAATGATTGGTTAAATATAATAATTGCAAACAATCAATAGATTTATTTTGATTGAATATTATTTAACAGCATTTATTTTTGAAACAATTCTTGTCAGTCTCATTCATCTTCCTATTGATCCTGCTGATCGCCACAGCTCTTTCTTTTTCAAAAATTTAATAGTAAAAGATGGATGTAGAGCAAGTACCCAAGTATTATTCGGGACTCAAAGATGTTGAATTTTCTTTCTAATAATAATGATCCAATACAAATTTGACTTGGAAAGCATAGATTCGTGACAAACAAATAGAGTCAGCAGGACAATGATTGGACTTAGCTTCTCGCCACACTGAACGTGAAGTTTGGTCCCACTTCAATTCTAGCATCTCTACATAACATTTATAGTCAATGATTCAATTGATAAATTTGTAGTGTTTTTTTCTCTCTTTTTTTCCTTGCATTTCATTTCATTTCATTTCATGTTTTGATTTGAAATGAGAGGATGTTCTTGAGAGAGAATAAAAAAATGTCTACATGCAGACGAAAAGCAAGAAATCAAAATAAAAGAATGTTATCGAACACTCAAGCTTACACGATTCAAATCCCTCTGTTTCTACTTTTTACTTTATACGTTTAAAAGAATAGTCTCAAATATTAAATTTGCATAAAATTAACATTTAAAACAAATAAAATGATCCTATTTGATTTTAGCACAAAAAAGTAAAAACCATGTTTATTTAACTATTTCCTAAAAATAGTTTTTCTTTATTTGACCCCCACTGTGCCTATTTTCAGAGCTGAAATCTGACATTCTTTCAAAATTTTACAGGCTTTTAGATAATCGTACAACTTAACATTGACCAGCAACGTCATCACAGTACTTCAAAGTTCAAACCAATGCTACAGCAACACAAACCCAAATCAACATGCATACCTCAAGAAACAAGTATTAACTAACCCTCAACTACTAATAAAATTGTTCCTCCTCAAATTGAAGATTTAGTGAGAAAATTGTGATGCGGGGAAATTTTCTAATCAGTACCTACTCCTCCCCTTCACATTTTAATGCATCATTAAATAATATATTGTTTTATTTAATGGGCCCACGCTATTCTTAAATGTTGCTTTTATGAAGTGAAGGGAGGAACTGTAGTACTGGAATTTATTCTGCCATCAAGCCACAATAGTTGAGCATATGTGAAGTAATGGGACTTAGTAAAAGTACCTGGGTTGAGTTGAGGGGAGGACAAGCAAGTTTGTGAATGAGAGTAAGCGTACAAGAAAGGAGTGTCCATGTGAGTTAGGAACATACACGTAGTGGGAGTGGGGCCCATAAGATTACGTGTGGGCTCACGTTGATAGGGGAATATAGGGGAAGTTAGTATTTTTGGGGGAATTATCTTTTATCAGTATTTTTCTTGTGTTTTCTATCCTGAGAATTGGGAGAGAGGGGGACCTCTCTAATCTCCCTTATTTGTGCTATTGATAACTAAAATTGAGGCTGAGGCCTGTCAATTTTTGGTATCGGAGCAGTGTTCTAAGGAATGGTGGGTAAGATGGAGGCCAGAATGAAAACTCTAAGAGGAAAAAATTATGGAAATTCAGGTTGTAATGGAGGAGAAGTTGGATTTGAAGGTAGGGCACATTAGGGAAGAGACAAAAACGATGTTGTAATAGATTGGAGGCACATGTTTAGTGCGGTTTAGGCTTGACTAGGAATATTCCAGAGGGAGAGAGTACAAGTACCTCAAATTACTGGATAGTTATGGTAGCTTTTATATCTTTTATATTTCAATATATTTGTAGTTGTTTGGGTTCTACCCATTTGCAGTCAAGAAGGAAGCATTTATAGCCTGCACTAATGGTACCATGACAAAGGTCTGAACTGTTGTCCCAAGGATTAAGGCGACATGGTGTTCAGTTTAAAGTTACCTTTAACAGCTAATGTCATATGCTCAGGAAGACTTCTTGAGACAGTTATCACATGGATTAGAGCCATATTTGCATGCTTTTCGATCAAACGACTCACCAAAATGCTGAAGCAACATTTGTCTCCGACATTCGTCCTGTGAAATTTTACAATAAATGAAGGAACAAAAGTCAGCCTTCAACTAAATCAAAGTTACAAAATTATTGAAAATAACGAGGCATTTGATGCAATCCGAGTTCCTGACCTTGAGTTCACAGAATTGTTGCATTTTCTTCGCTTGAGACATTGACAACTTAAAATTTTCACTCTTAAATCCTTTTCCATTACGTAACATGCATACAACTCGGCTGAAATCCTTTTTCTGGTATAAGACAATACATGAAGCAGGGCAATCATCCCTTCCAGCTCTTCCTGATTCTTGATAATAGCTTTCTATTGATTTCGACATTGTATTGTGAATAACAAATCGCTGAACAAATACAGAGAAGAAAGGAAGAGGGATGAATGATGTAATAACGAAAATGTAGTCATCAAAAATGAGTTGTAAAAACTTGCAAGTAAATAGAATATGCTGAAGAATACATAAGATAGCTTCAT